CTGATCTTGTATGAATTCGGAAATATAAAATTATGAATTTGAATACAGATCGGCTACCTAGCTAAACTATAGGTAGACCGAAGAAAAGAATAAGAATACAATTAAGAATAACTGGTCATGTGATGAGCCGGCGTGCACGCATGATTAGTTGGGTAAAGCGTGCGCACATGGTTCGTAGATCTATTCATGGATGTGAGTAGGTGATCCCACCCAGCCGATGTTTGTTGATGTTGTATCGAGCGGGTTCTTCCATGGATGTGGTTAAATCAGGACTCTAGAAGGAATAAAGAAGATTAGCCTTAGCCTAGGATAGGTTATGAGCTTGGAAATAAGGAAGTTTGATTTTGAGTTTTACATATGGATTCTGTGTCATTCCTAAGTTAAGAATGAGATAAACTTGGTAATCTCGGTTATTAGGTTCCATTTGTGAATTGTCTGATATTATCCATTATTGTTGTTGTACTTGTGTGCATGATATTGTATGAAGTTATGAGCTAGTGAGTTCGTCTATATGCATAGGCGAAACGTTAGATATTTCTCACTTAGACTCAATGATGAGTGTGTATCCTTTTTTTCCTTTTTGTTACATGTATGTAACAGGAACGATGAATAAGGAAACAATCTTAGAGGGCAACGAGCGCAGAGAAATGGATGAATAAGGAAATATTATTATGGTTTTGGGAAAGAACCTAAAATTGTGTCTTGAATTAAGTACTTTAAAGCTTCCGCACCGTTTTTGTTAACTTCGATGGATATTTAAATAATGTTTTGAATTAAATATTTTAAATTGTTTTGAAAATTATTGTGTTTCGATACCAACTTAGTAACATCCCGATCCTCCGGTTCATGCATTCAGGCTATGCGAGTTGGGGTGTTACATGGATCGTTATTGCCCATGGTATTTATTGTCTATCCATGAAAGAAACAAAATAACAATGTCAATGACATTCAACGTATTTTTGAAGCAAAAGAGAAAGGAAGAGATAAAATTAAATGCAGGGGCGGCTCAGGCAATGAGCAGGTCACCCGGCCCAGGCCTATTTTCGTAGGAGACTTTAATTTGATATTTTATTATTGTTATTATCGTTAAAATGGTTACTATTATAAAATAAATTAATTAACAACCTTTATCCCATGTTTTTATCTCCAAAATAGCAATTCTCACTATGGTATTGTGGCGATATATATGGACATTTCACAATACTTTTTAGTAATGTATATAGTAATGATTGACACTGTAAATGCATTTTAATTCATATTTCAAGAATAAACACATGCATGTAACTCGTATTTTAGAATATTTTCAATGTTTTACTTCTAATTTAGTTTTTTTCCCTTTGATAAACTCTCGAGTCGGTCAAGTGGGGTTTGGGTTCGATCTGGTTTGACGCATTTTAGCGCGTCATTTCGAGTTCGGTCATCTTCGAGTTCGAACAAAATTTTTGTCAATTCTAAATTATTTTCTATGCAATATTTTTCAGGAATCAAGTAAATATATTTCTCACATGATTTTTAATACATTAGACAAAGTCATTTTTTAATTCCAGCTTTTTGAAAGACTTCAAGGTATACAACATATTTTTATGATTGCAAGAGTTTTTTGTCATCTTGAACCAATATTTTTAATCATGTCATTATCTGCACTCGTGAAACGGCAACATTTAGCTGGTCATGAGTGAATAAAGTTGGTCATGAGTTAATATCGACTTGGTTCAAAATAATCCAATAAAAGATAATATTTGACCTTGGCTTTTGTTAATAGTCATATCAAAATATAAAATGAATGGTATTTGTCTTCTATGAAATTTTAGGGGTAGTCATGAATCAGATGGTACCAAATTCATTCAGGGTATGTAAACCTTTTCTTGACTCGATTTTCCGAAACCACAATTGTATCGATAAAGTTCTTTTGCAGCTCTTTAACTATTACACAATCTAGATGTTTGGTCAATGTTTCTCAATAACATAATTCGTACCCCTTTTTTAAAACTTATTTTTGGTTTGGGATTCCCAAACTTTTGATTTAATTCAAACACTCAACTGTTAATCAATCATCATGAACACCTATATATGTATATAACCGACATGAATAATCCAAACATAAGTACTCCTTTTCATCTTCAGTGATGAGGGATAAGACAAATTCATTTATTATTTTTCTACAGTCTCGAGCATGGGTTCCAATATCCAAAAAATAATATTTTTGCATATTCTCTAATACGTTCAGAGAAATGAAGTATATTATACTCTTAAGGGGATAATTTTTGTCAAGAATCAAGAATTCGGGCGACATTTTAACATCAGTAGTTCTATCAATAACTTGTTCAAGCTTTCCATCTCCGATTTTTATAATCCAGTTAGAAAAAGCTTGTGTCCCTATCTGTGCAAGAAGACATAAATGCATGCAATCTCATATTCTTTGTCAATGTATAAACCTTACAATACAATCATAATTTTGAGGAATTGACAATAGCACCTACAATTTCCTCTCAAAATTTTTGACAAAGCTAGAAGAATTTGGCAAAAATCACCTCCATGTACAACTATTTTCCCTAGAATCGTTCATTTGTGGAGTAATTATTAAAGAATTTCAATGCCTCAATAGCAAATCTCTTAAGCATACATGTTTCATGCCATATGATTATATTTGTTTGTTGGATTAGTTTTACTTTTGGACTCTCTTGTTTGATCGCACACTTTGAGCTTTCGGTTAGCGCTAGAGGGATTGAAAATCTCGAGTGTGTTGTCCTCCCACCGGGTAAAAGCAATGATGTAATGCAGTGGATGCGACATTCAAAACAACCTTACCATTTGAATATCATTTATTTTTCTCTTTCAAATATATTTCTACCACACGTCTATTTTACATCATTTTAACAATCGTTTTTTATTTTTGGCAAAGTCCAATTGTTAATGGATCTTTTCAATAATATAGAAGCATGTGAAAATTAAGTTTAAGCTCAAAGATAGTAAAAGTTGACGTGTGCATCAATGTCTTTTATAATTTTTTTGCATTTTAATATAAATAAGACATGTGTTATATAATAAAATATGCATTATTTTTTCAATTATAACTTCTTTTGTCTTTTAATATACGTAGTATACATTTTTATTTATTTAAAAATCAATTTCATAAGTTTCCGTTTTCTATTTTAACAAAAAGTATTTAAATATCATTTATCTTTCTCTTTCAAATAAATTTCAACCCCACACACTTTAATTTATACATCAATTTAACAGTTGTTTTTTATTTTTGGTGAATCCAAATTGTTAGTGATTTTTCTAAGAGTTTAGAAGTATGTGAAAAATAAAAGAAATCTCCTTGGATAAGAGTAAAAAAGTTTGAAAAATACCAAAATAGGAGTCTTATGTGTTTTAAGACCAAAATAGAAGTATAATGGCAATATCATGTAAGAATATGTGTTGGCAGTGTAATAGAAAAGTGATGACTTTGTAATATGTCAGTGTGATTAGTCAACCGTTGGCGATCTGTAGCGACACTCTAGTTGTCGGCGGCAACAGATGACAGTGTAGCGATGATAGTGTAGCAGTTAGAATGTGACAGTGTGGTGAGTGTGACTATAACAATGGCAGTGTGAACTCCTATTTTGGTATTAAAAAATCTATAACTCAAAAATGCTAAAATTTAACGTGTGCATTAATGCCTTTTATAAAATTTTTTCCTTTTAATATAAATAAGACATGTGTTATGTGCTTAAAAATGCATCATTTTTTCATTTATAATATTTTTCCTTCTAATATACTCTCTCCATCCCACTCTCTTTGACCACATTCTTTTTGGACCAAGAACCAAGTAAGTGGGGAAGTGGAGTATGTACTATTAACTTTTAGCACATAAATAATAAACATTTTTATACGTTTTATCCATTCATAATTTTTATAATAATTTCCAAATTCTATGTATTTCCCATAAATAAAGCGTGTATCATTTAAGAAATTTTAAACTTAATTTGGTTCAAATTAAACACACCCAACTATCAACGACATTTATAAAACTTGTAGCATTTTAGTTTTTTCTTATTTTTGTGTTTTTACCAATTCCAATGGGTGATTTCATACTGTTAGACTTCTAAGTTTTTGAAAAATCTTTTAAAGATTTTTGTCTGTTTTTCTATTATGCTGGAATATATGACGAACAATTATATGGGAGGTAAGGCTGTATTGGTACTAAGATCAAAAGTGCATTTAGCATTCTGCCTTCAAAAGTGCATTTAGCATTCTGCACAATTTGTGCTCATAGTAGAAGCATTCAATTCTCATAAAAATAATCCATATGTGACCATAAAGCAAAAGAAACATCCATGGAACACATTACAAAAACAAAATCTAAAGTCTCGCTTATTTTGGATTAAAGATTACTTGAATACTCATAAAAATGTGGGTAAATTTCACAAATGCTACCTGAACTTTACCTGGAATTTCGAAGTAGTACCTGAACTTCAAATCCTTTCACAAAAATCCCTGAACTTACACAATCCTTTCACTAATGAGCCATTAGCCCGTTTCTAGGTTAACTTCCGGTCATTAGGGCCAAATTCGAATTTTATATATTTTAAAATTTTCAATTTGACCCCATTTCTTCTTTTCTTTTCTTCCACGCCCCGCCGCCGCCGCCCGCCGGTCAAAGTCGCCGGAAAATGAACTTTTTCCGATTCCGGCGGGACCAATGTCATTCT